TTTCAGAGCGGGCCGTTCTGCTTCACTGGTGGTGTTTTAATTTTGCAACCAGAACGGCCCGTTCCGGTTTCAGAACGGGCCGTTACGGTTCCAGGTGTTTTAAAAAAATATTCTTATCCACGTGGATGCCACGCATACATCTACGTGACCAAAAGTTAACTCCGTTTAAATAATTTGGACGGAAGTCCCACATTGAAACTAATTAATTAATTTGGGACTAAATTGAAACCAATTAATTAGTTTGGGACCAAATTGAGACCAAAAATTAATGAGGGACTAAATTGAAACAAAAAAAAGATTATAAGGGACCAAAATAGGTTTTTAGCCTTTATTTTAGAAATCGTTTCAAGAGCATCATGTTATAGTTTCAAATCCTCAAGTTCTTGTTTAGCCTTTATTAAGGCATCTCATACCAACTAAGCTTGCTTTTCAACTTGCTACATAAGGGTCATATTTTAAGTGCTTTTGATTGCACTTGCATAAATGCTTCTTGCATTTGTTTAGAATCATGCTTGGATTTAAGTTTAAAATCACTTACCATTTCTTGTTGCTTAATGTCAACCATCAAACACATATTGGCTTCCTCATTTTTGGATGTATCACTTGTGGAGGTTGAATCATTATCCTCATAAGTTATGTATGCCTTCTTTCCTTTTATTTGATTTTTGCCCTTCTTATCCTCTTGTTGCGTCTTTAAGTAGATAGGACATTCAACTTTTATGTGACCTTGCTTTCCACATTCAAAGCAAGTGTATTAAATTGCATTTCCTTCATCTTTTTATTTTTCCTTTTCCAATTTTGAGCTAATTTCTTCTTTCTTCTCAAATACTTACTAAATTTCCTCACCATGAGGTTGAATTGTTCCATGTCTAAATTCTCAATGTTGGATTCTTCTTTTCCTTTTTTGGAGGTTCAGGCCTTCAAGGAAACTCGTCTTCCTTTCTTATCCAACCGTTCATTTCCTTAAAAAAAAAAAATATATGCAATTTTTGCTCATACTTTCTCAATTTTCCAAAGAGTGTGACCGATGTCATGGATATCAAATCTCTTGGCTCTTCAATATTTGTGACTTTGACTTGCAATGATCTATCTAGGCATTGCAACACTTTGAGATTTAATTATTCTCTCTCAAATTTCCTGCCAAGATCAATTAGGTGATGTATAAGATATGTAAAATGTTTTTGAAAATCAGAAATACTTTCACCTTATTTCATTCTTGACAACTCAAATTCTCTAACTAGTGTATGCTTTCTAGATCACTTAACGTCACTAGTTCCCTTATGTTTTAATTGCAATGTGTCCCACATTTCCTTAGATGATTTGCATTGAGATACTTTAAAGAATTCATCATGAGATAATGCAGATGTAATAATATTTTTGGCTCTATAGTCGTATTGTGCCTTTCTTTTTTCATTATCATTCCACTCACTTTAATGTTTTTCTCTCCTCTCATTCTCATATTTTTCTTCAATCATAACAACATTCCATATGGCTATATTAATAGCTTCAATGAAAGCTTTAATTATTATTTTCCAGTATACATAGTTTTCACTATTAAAAATAGAAGGAATACCGTATGGTAGCCGACTAGGCCGAATACCCGATCCATGACTGACTAGGCCGAATACCCGAGTCCGCGAATGATTTGGCCGAATACCTGAGCCCGCCGACCACTCACAATCTGAACAAAGTGTGTCGGTGTGCTCGGCTAAGTCCCGTACTTACGCCAGGATGATTACGGAGAGGTTAATTTATGTAATGCACCGGATTAACCCCCTAATTTCCCGGGGCCCAATCCTTAATCACGGCCCAATAAGAAACACTATAAATAGACCCCCTACGAGGTACGTAACTAACTTTTAACTACCGCATTTATTACGCCGAGCACTTACTTGAGCATTGGAGTGTCTTTGCAGGCACCCCCCCACATATCGGACTATTCGAAGAAGAACGAGAAGACCTAGACCCCGGACCCGACCCGCTACAACAAGGATAATAGGAGTGTGTATCCTAACACAGGAACATTTGGCTCCCACTGTGGGGCCGAAGAGACGTTTTCAGCCCCTTTGAACTCTACGACTGAGACCAAGACATGGTAGTAACGCTCAAAGGACAATCAACAACGACCCAACCGATCCCTAACCCCGAAAACAATCCCGTCGTAACCAACCAAGAACGTTACCTGTACGGAATGCCTCAAACGCAACCAGAGCCTGTGATACAAGAGGTCTAACCGAACACCGACCGAGCCCAACCCAACCTCCAAGATGACTTGCGCGCTTTGCGCGAGGAAATGGCCCGTATCCGAAGACAGAGAGAAGCCGATGCCAAGGAGTTGGCCGAACTGCACCGACAAAACACCGAGCTCCGAAGCCTTAATAAAACCTATGTGTCGTCAACTCCCACTCTTCAAGAGGAGTCCGCATATCATGCCCCAACTGACCATGTGACCCGAACACCAGTCACCTCTTTGATGGGCAACAAGGCCGACACCACCACTCACTCCTTAAGGCATCCTTTTTCACGAAGGATAATGGAAGCAACCCTGTTGGATCATTGGAAGAGTCTTCCAATCGATAAGTACGACGGATCTACCAATCCCGATGAACACCTGAACGTCTTCCTAACACAGGCGACCCTCTCCACTCAAGACGACTCGGCTTTGTGCCGAATATTTCCCACGTCGCTGAAAGGAAGGGCCCTGAGTTGGTTCTCGAGATTGCCGAGCTCTTCCATTGACTCGTTCAACGAGTTGTCATCTCAATTCACTCTTTAATTCGCGACGAGCAAGTCGTACAAGACGACCTCGTTAGCCTTAGCGGGGGTCCGTCAAGAAAAGAATGAAATTCTGAGAAGCTTCATGGACCGATTCAACAAGATTGCCATGGAGATCGGCGATCTTAACCCTGCTGTAGCGTTGGACCGACTGAGCACTGCCCTCAGGCCGGGGTCATTCGTGAATAGCTTGTGCAAGAAGCCACCCGTTGATATGAATGATCTCCAACGCCGAGCTGAAAAGTATATGCAAATGGAAGAGCTGGCGGAAACCCGAAATCAAGCTAGGGCCGAGGAGAGCTACAGCCGAAAGGAATCTGGCCGAGAGCCGACGAAAAAGACGAGTGCCGAGCCTTCAAATGCTCGCCCCCCACGAGGACCACGCTACACAGTGTATACTCCCCTCAATGCGAGTAGGGCTAAGGAAATGGAGCAGGCCCTCGCATCAGAGATTCTTGTGATGCCGAAACGGGCGAACACACCCCCTAGAGCCGACAAAGCTAAGACGTGTCGATTCCATCGAAATAGGGGGCACTCAACGGAAGAATGCTCAGCGCTAAAAGACAAGCTTAAGGACCTTATCAAGCAAGGTCACCTCAGGAGCTTCGTCACCCCCAAGACCACCAGTCAAGGGAGAGAGACCATCACTCTCGGGAAGCACCACCGCCGAGAGACCGACGCCACCGGTCCCGGTCAGCTGAAAGGAGAGACCACTCACGGCATTCCCAAGAAGACAACGACCGGCTGAGGAAGATAATAAACACAATAGCTGGAGGCTTTGCTGGGGGAGGTTCCACATCGTCCGCAAGGAAAAGGCACCTCCAAGCAGTGCGATCAGTAAATAGTGTGAATCAGCCGAGTACACCGAGGATGCCGCCAATAACCTTCTCCAATCGAGACTTCCGGGGCGTCGATCCCGTTCAGGACGACCCCATGGTGATTTCGGTCGCAATGCATAACTGCATTGTAAAGAAAACCTTGGTCGATCAAGGGAGCTCGGCCGACATTTTGTATTGAAATACCTTTGTGCAGGTGGGGCTTCCGGAGGAGAGGCTTGAACCGGATCACGAGCCATTAGTAGGATTCTCAGGCGAAAGAGTGATGACGAGAGGATGCATTGACCTATACACTCGTTTTGGCTTCGACCATAAGTCTTCGCGAGAGATCAAAATCTGCTACATTGTGGTGCATGCGAACACGTCGTACAACATCCTACTAGGTCGACCCTCCATTAATGCGCTAGGAGCCATCGTCTTGACCCCTCACTTATGCATGAAGTTCCCGTCGAGAGATGGACAGGTGATAACCGTTCACGCCGACCAAAAGACGGCAAGAGAATGTTACCTCTCTAGCCTAAAGGTATAGCCAATTTACGACCCCTCAAAGACGAAAGGTGTGAACGTAGTAAGGCAGCAGGTGATAGATAGCATTGACCTCGACCCTCGGATAGGTGAGGAAGAGAGGATCGAGCCCGCGGAGGATATCATTCCTTTTCAGCTAGGCCGAGCACCCGAACAAGTAACACACGTGGGATCTCAGTTGGGCGAGGTCGACTCAAACCGGGTGAAACGAGTGGTTCGAGATAACAAAGACCTCTTCGCATGAACGGCGTCGGACATGCCGGGAATAGATCCCAAATTCCTGTGCCACCAACTGGTCGTATGCCGAGATGCCCGACCAGTTGCGCAAAAGAAGAGGAAGATGGGAGACGAGAAGAGAAAGGCCACCAAGGCTGAGGTGCAGAAACTGTTGCAAGCAAAATTCATCAGAGAGGTCACCTACACCACCTGGCTGGCCAATGTGGTGTTGGTCAAAAAGGCAAATGGGAAATGGAGAATGTGTACCTACTACACCGACCTTAATAAAGCCTGCCCCAAAGACGCCTATCCACTCCCTTGCATCGACCGACTCGTAGACGGCGCGTCTGGACACTCTATCTTTAGCTTCTTAGATGCCTATTTCGGTTACAATCAGATAAAGATGAACCCGGCCGATGAAGAGAAGACGGCGTTTATAACCGAGGACGCCAATTTTTGCTATGAAGTGATGCCGTTTGGGTTGAAGAATGCTGGGGTGACCTACCAGAGGTTAATGGATAAGGTGTTTCAGGGTCAAATCGGCCGAAACATCGAAATCTATGTGGATGACAGGTGGTCAAGTCCAATTCCTTGGCCGACCATATAGCGGACCTGGTCGAAATCTTTGGTGAATTACGCAAGCACAACATGAGGCTCAGCCCCGAGAAATGTACCTTCAAAGTTAAAGGAGGCAAATTTCTTGGGTTTATGCTATCGGCTAGGGGAATAGAGGCGAACCGAGATAAATGCCAAGCTGTCTTAGACATGCGGAGTCCGAGCAATCTCAAGGAAATGCAACGACTGTCCGGAAGGTTGGTCGCATTGTCCCAATTCCTCCTTCGTCTAGCCGACAAGATCAGCCCGATGACTAAGCTTCTATGGAAGGCTTCGGCCTTCTCGTGGAATGAACCATGCGAGGAAACCTTTGCAGCGTTGAAAGCAACCCTGGCGACACTGCCGATCCTAACGAGACCTGATCCTTCAAGCCCACTCCTAGTATACTTGGCTGTATCCGATGAGGCGATCAGCTCGGCCCTGGTACAAGAAAAGGAAGGTACCCAAGCTCCCATATACTTTGTTAGCCGACTCCTACAGGACTCCGAGACACGGTACCAACTGATAGAAAAAGTTGCCCTTGCCTTAGTACACACTTCACAATGCCTACGACATTATTTTCAAAGCCACCGAGTAGTTGTACACACCAACTGCCCATCGCTAAGGTCTTAGGCAAGCCTGAACTCGCCGGAAGAATGATGGCCTGGTCGGTGGAGCTCTTCCAATTTGACATCACCTTCAAACCTAGAGGACTGATCAAAGCCCAATGCCTGGCCGACTTTGTGAATGAGCTTCATCCCCACGGCCAATTCGAAGAGCATTGGTGGACCCTCCATGTGGAAGGTTCCTCAAATTGTCAGGGAAGCGAAGCAGGAGTAATTCTGGAGGGACCCAAAGGAATAGTTTTGGAACAATCCCTCCGCTTTCGGTTCAAGGCTTCGAACAACCAAGCCGAGTATGAAGCCCTATTGGCCAGATTAAGGCTAGCCGAAGACATGGGTGCTTCGAGAATCAAATGCTTGACCGATTCCAAAGTTGTGGTCGAGCAAGTGGGCGGTAACTTCCAAGTAAAAGATCACAACATGATGTAGTACTACCATGCCTATCAAAAATTGAAGGCAAACTTTCAAGAGGTGTTGGTCGGGCACATCCCGCGCGAGGACAACACCCGAGCCGATCAGTTGGCTAGGTTGGCTGCGACCAAGAAGCCAGGCCAACTAAGAACCATCATTCAACAAGAAATCGACCACCCTAGTTTCGAAGCGGAAGTCGTAGCAAGCATTGATACCGACCACCTCGGCCAGAGCGACCCACCCGACTGGCGAGCCGAAATCAAGGCATTCATCACCAATGGCGCCGCTTCGACCGACCCGACCGAAGCCAAACGATTGAGAACACAGGCCAGCAGATATGTCATCATCGCAGATCAGTTATACAAGCACGGCTTCTCTACTCCCCTACTCAAATGCCAAGACCAAACCGAGGCCGATTACGTGATAAGAGAAGTTCACGAGGGTATTTGCGGAATGCACTCCGGGGTGAGAACGACTGTTTCCAAGCTTCTGCGTGCCGGGTACTACTGGCCGACCATGAATACCGATTGCGGAGCCTTTGTGAAGAAGTCTCAACAATGTCAAAAGCACGGCAACTTAATCCACCAAGTTGCCGAGCAACTGCATTACATTCCCCCAGCGTGATCGTTCGCCACATGGGGCTTCGACATACTTGGACCTTTCCCGGTGGCCAAGGGACAATGCAAGTTCCTCATCATCGCCGTGGACTTGTTCACCAAATGGATCGAAGCCGAGCCCTTGGCAAACATCTCTGCTCATCAAGTACAAAAATTCCTTTGGAAGAATGTCATCACCTGGTTCGACATCCCTTCAACCCTGGTGACCGACAACGGCCTTCAATTCATTGACTGAAAACACAACGAGTTCCTAACCGGCCTAGGAATACGACACAAGGTCACATCGGTCGAGCACCCACAAACGAACGGCCAAGCCGAATCTGCCAACAAAGTCATCCTGACAGAGTTGAAGAAGCGGCTAGGAGAAGCAAAGGGAGCATGGGCCGAGCAGTTGCCCGAGGTACTTTGGGCCTACCGATGCACGCCCCAGTCAATCACGCAAGAGACCCCCTTCCGATTAGTATATGGATCCGACGCAATGCTCCTAGTGGAAATTGGAGAACCATCATTTCGTCGAGCCCACTTCGACAAGTCGAACAACGAAGCTGAACTCCAAGCAAACCTGGATGTTGTAGAAGAAATCCGAGATCGAGCCCTTGTAGTGGCCGAGGCCACCAAGCAGCGCTACAAGAGAAGATTCGACAGCAAGGTGAAGCCTAGAGAATTTCGCGAAGGAGATCTTGTTTGGAGAGTCACAGGCGAAGCAAGAAAAGATCCGAGACAAGGAAAACTTTCCCCAAATTGGGACGGACCCTTCCGAGTCCGTCACAACCTAAACAACGGAGCATACAAGCTGGAGTACCTATCAGGAGAACCAATTCCGAGAACTTGGAACTCCTTGCATTTAAAAGTGTATTACAGCTGATGTAATAGTGCACTCTTTTCCTTGACCGATTCTTTTTTCCCTAAGGAGGGTTTTGGGACAGCAAGGTTTTTAACGAGGCACTTCATTAATAAATATTTCAAATTTCATCATACAGTTTACTATTTTATTGTATGTCTAGGCCGCGCTCACGCAAGTCTACTCGCATAATAAGCCGACGCTGAGCAATCCTCGGCCGACCACTCTAAAGTGCTCTCGAGCCCTACAGGTTTCCCTCCCAAGTACCGTCATCGGCTAAGGATGTACCTAGGACGAGCACTACGACACACGTCGATACCGAGCAAATCTCGGACAATCACTCATGGTGCACTCGAGCCCTACAGGTGTCCCTCCCGAGTACCCTCCTCGGCTAAGGATGTACCTAGGCCGAGCACTACAACACACGCCGATATCGACCAAATCTCGGACAATCACTCACGGTGCACTCGAGCCCAACAGGTGTCCCTCCCGAGTACCCTCCTCGGCTAAGGATGTACCTAGGCCGAGCACTACGACACACGCCGACACCGAGCACTTGAACCGAGCACTTGAACCCCACAAGGTTGTTCCCTCCCGAATGCGCCTACGACGAGCAACTCATCCAATTACCTAAAAACGCGCACTCTCGGCCAGATAAGACAAGGTTGTTCCCTCCCGAGCACTACACCATCGACGATCACTCTCAAGCCAAACACTCTCAAGTCGAGCACTCTCGCATGCTCCACACTTCGCGTATCAAGTCGCTGGATTTGATTCTGCGTCCGAGCACGTGCAAGCCGGACACTCTCGTAAACCGAGCACTCTCGTGTAATCAAACATACCACGCACCAATTAACTAATTCGCGAAATTTACCCCCTCAGTCGAGCTTACAAGTCGGTTTATGTCTATGCTAATAAGCGTTGATACATGCAAGAAATTGGAAAGAAAAACATTTCATTAAAAGGTATGGCCAATCAGAACAGCTAATTACACAAAAGATCGTTTGTCCACCGGTACCAATGACCAAATTACAAAAGGCACTAACGGCCCAGTTACAAAGAAAGCAAAAAATCCTAACCCTAACCTACTACCACCAGAGCCGACCTCCTACATCGCGGTCGAGCCCTCCGGGTTCCCATCGCTGACCACGTCAATGATCGGTTCTTCCTCCCTAGTTGGCGACGCTGGGGCCTGAGTCGAAATGCCTCGGCGACGGGCCTCTTCGTCAGGCTGGGCTCCGTGAGGGAACTCAACATAACTCATATATTTGCCACCATAAAAGTCCCGGCTAACATCGAAATTAAAGTCAGCCAGGACCTCACAGAAATAGTAGGCCTCCCAGACAGCATGCTGGAAGCCGGTATCATGTTGATCCAAGATCTTCTTGGTTGCCTCGGCTTTGAACTTAGAAGCAGCCTCATTCAATCGAGCAATCTCAACCGTTGCAGCGGCGGCCTCGGTCTTCAGCTTCTGAAGGCCAACTTCAAGTTGTCGGCCTCCCTCCTGTGGGCATTAGCCGCCCTCTTCAGCTCCTCGGTCGACTCGGTTGCGTTGGCATTGGCAGTCAGCGCCTCCTTCAGCGTCGTCTCGGCCTCTTTAAGTCGCCCATAAAGCCTCTCCTCCGAGACAACCGACCTCATCATCACATGCTTGGCGATTAGGGAGGTCTGAGCATCAAGCTCACAGAAGAGTTTGTACTCGGCCTCCGCCGACATGCTTTTCAAGTATTGCAGCTCACCACCAGAAGTTCTCGGTTTGGACACTTGGCATGAGAAAGTTCTCGGTTTGGACACTTGGCATGAGAAAGTTAGAGTCGGCAACAACCGCCGGAATAGCAAAAGCACCACAACCCGATTGCTCTAAGGTCGGTTGCTTCAAGCGCTTAACAGAAGAGCTCGGCCGATCCGACTCCACATGTTGTTCGGCTGCCCTCACCCGAGATGTGCTTCCCTTCTTCTTGGCGTCGACCAGGGGGATTATAACGTTTGGAGGCCTATCCTTTTGCTGCTTCAGGGCCGACCTTGCCGGTGGTACCTTCCCACTGGCCTTTGCATCCTTTGCTCGTTTGGCGAGCATAGCAATCACGTCTAGATCACCTCTGGCCATTAATCTTGCAACAAAACAAATCTTAACATCAATTCAAAATACTACTACAATACCAAAACGTAAGACACTTACCTAGCAAGGCCATCTCAAAATGAGACGTCTCAAAAACATCCAAGAGGCCTCGGACAGGCAACTCCTTCGGCAGTTTGTCCAGGAGCTCCACAATATCTTTGTCCTTGGCAGAGGGTTTTGACGCAGGCATCGCCTCGAAACGCATCGGGCGCTTTGTCCAGTAAAAAGGGAATAGCGGTGAGCCCTCTCGGTCCTAAAAACAGTCCTCCATTTCCGACCCCCAGTGGACTTTGAAGAAACCGCTCTTAAACCCTTTGTAAGAAGAGGTGAATGGAACCCACGCTTCGGCACCCGAGCCAACGACACCCACTTCACCGGTTTGCTCGGACGACAAATATAGTAAAAGAGAAAGGCAAGGGGTCGGGGGGTGAGGCCTAAGCAAAGGCACAAATTCCGGAAAGCTTGCATGGCAGCCCAAGCATTCGGGTGCAGTTGCGTCGGTGGCACGTTGAGTGCTCGGAGGACCCCCATTTGAAAATCGTCAAAGGGTAGCTTTATGCCGAGGTCCTCGAACCAGCACATGTAAGCATAAAAATAATCGTCTTCATCGGGCCCCGTCTCCAAGAATACGAAATTAGTGTCCGGCACATCGTCCGCACACGCCTCGGCAAGCAACGAGAACTCGTCCTCCCCACTCCCGAAACATTTTTCCAACGACACGAACGTGTCTAGTAATCCTTGATCGGATAACTTTGAGAAGTATATGCCGACCTCTTCGTCCACCCATTCATACCTAGGCATCTCCACCGTACCGTAGTCGATCTTCGCCTTCGCCCAGGCACTCGGACCACCCACGCCCTTACCTCTAGCATCGTCGAGTATCTCCAAATCGTCTCCACTCACTTCGGCCTGGATGGCCTCGGCACGTGAGCTCGGCTGGCCGACCTGGCCTAAACCTCTAGCATCCACCTCGGTGGCTCGGGCCAAGGCCACGACCAAAGTCACTGGGGGCGATACCTCAACCACTTCATCCCCACTATCCTCCTGCTCGGCAACATCGGAGGGGAACACGACTTCACATTGCAGCAGAGGCAACCTTGATATTTCACTTAAACCTGACCCCTCTTTATCCAACGCAGCACCCGACGCCCCCGAGGACGTCCAACTCCTGGCCGAAGAATAACCCCTATCCATTTATTACCAAAAATAAATAATACAAAATTTACCTTGTTTGGTGTGTTCGGATGAATCTGATTTCGAGAGCGCTCGGGAAATTTACAGCAAGTAAATTCCCACGTGGCCCCCCTCCTATTTATAGGCAAGGTAAATGGGGGAGGTAAAAAGACGTCCCGAAATCGCAACCGTTCGATCTGGATCATCTAACGGTCCAGATTTTGTAACCGATGGGCCTGTAACCGCTAGGGCCAATGTGGCAGTCCACACCTACCGAGGTCTCGGCATAGGCTCCAACCGCTTAAGGTCTCTGCATAAGCTTCATCCGTCTAAGGCCTCGTCATAGGCCTCATCTAGCCTAGGTCTCGTCCCAGGATCCGTCCAGCCTAGGTCTCGGCATGGGTTTCTTTTGTCGAGATCTCGGCATAGACTTCATCAGTCCACACCTACCGAGGTCTCGGCGTAGGCTCCAACCGCTTGAGGTCTCGGTATAGGCTTCATTTGTCTAAGGCCTCGACATAAGTCTCATCCAGCCCAGGTCTCGGCCTGGGATCCATCTAGCCGAGATCTCGGCATGGCTCTCTTCCGTCTAAGGTCTCGGCATAGGCTTCATGAGCTTGAGGTTTCGGCATACCATCAGAAGTCGGCCTTACCGACTTAGCCTTTAACGTTAGAGCTCAGCCACTATCATTGCTACCGAGGTTATTAAAAACCAGATACACTGGGAACACACACATTACCACTAGCGATCGGAACCAACCCCTATCCTGTTGAGCTTGGGAGAGCTTAAAAAAGTTTTGATGATCACATACACATTAGAAAGAGATTGAATAGTGTATATCAAAAACTCGTGCTTTTTGCAGTGAGGTAGTGA